GATCTCAGGCCATCCACCTCTTTAGTGCTATCTCTTCTCTCTTGGCCAATGAAAATTGATTCCAACCCTTATTTCTACAATGAAGAGTATACGTCACCATCAAAAGCCAAGACTCCGATGAAGATACGTGAATGAAGAAAACAAGACGGCATCCACTTCTTGATAATTCGCCGCATCTCGCAATTACTCCAAGTGCTATTTTTACGCTTTTCTTACGCAATATTCAACCATGGTTCTCAAGGCTTAATTTGAATATACAATAATGGTGTCAAGTTCTTTTTTACCTTACAAACATCCTCTGACTGGGGACTAAATTAAGTTAACCCTCAATGCAAATTTCTAATGAAGCTTACAATACTAATTCTGGGGCTACATTTGTTTGTTTTTTGGTATTTTATCAATTCTATCATCTCACTGGGTGGTTGTTCTCAATCTTCTAGAACAAGTTGATAGTCATGTACTTTTGTTATGTTTGGGACCTCAGGATTACGAGGAAGTCGCCCAAAAAAGAAAGAAGAACGACACGAACGCGAGGGAAACCAGACCGACATCTCATTTTGATAATGGGTTTTGGAGTTTACAGCGTTTCAGAATTTATAATTGTAATGTATTAAATTTTAAATTGCTGATTTTACTTTATAAAAGCGATTAAATAGGGCTATAGAAGTAATTTGAATCTAATAGGTGTTAAGATTTTAACTGTAATTAAGGTGTGGGGTAAATATGATCGAAGTAAACAACTTGAGGGGTAAATTTAGAATAGTAAAGATGTGGGGAGCAAATATAAAAATATCAATGATTTGATCGGGAAGAAAAACCCAATTTCTTTTAAGTTATAACTTTCTGAAGTTTTTCAAACGAGTTATCGGTGTTCACTGGTCACGAGACAAGCACCAAGCGTGTATCTCTTCTTCATTGCATTATCTTCCTTTCTAGGGTACCGACAATCCTTTATTTGTGTATCAACCAGCAGACATTAACAATTAATTTCTATACATCCATAAGCAGATACGTCCGATTAGCATAGCTACTTGTTGCCTCGTTATATCTACCAGCATATATCAACAATTTCCGTACAAGCAGGGAAAATATTAACTTGTATTAAAGCTAATAGGCATTGATAGTTACAGGTTTAAATTGTATACACAATTTGATTGTCCTGATTTCATCACAAAGTACCTGATTTCATCACAAATTATTTTTAAAACCCATAGTTACGGTGAAGATCGGGAGTATAATTTATTCTGTAAGAGGTGACATAGCAAAGTAACAAAAATTTCCAGCCTACATATCGGCAACTGAAAGGCTGATATGAGTTGAAGCAACCGGAAATCCCCTTCTGATTCCTTCAACACAGTTAATCATACTTCACCACAGTTAATCATACAACACAGTACAATAAACAAAACTTATAATTTTCCCACAAACCAATGCTCATCAGATATCGATATCACCAGCAGAGCTAGCTGAGTCATCGTCGCTGCTATCACTACTGCTGCTCCCGCTACCACTCCCACTCCCACTGCTGCCACTTCCACTGCTTCCGCTCGAACTCGAACTCTCTTCATCATCATCTTTCTGTTGTTGCCCCTCCTCAGCATTCACTTGGGCCCTTAAAGCTTCAGCAGCATTAGGCCCCTTTCCTGCTTCACCATCGCTCACATCCACATCAGCAATCTCGTCATCCGTATCGTTATGCTGAGTTGGGATGTTGATATCAACGCCGAAATAGGAAGATGATGGTTGTTCTCCAGTGTTTATCTTAGGTTGCGGCTCTTCATCATCATCTACATCTATGTCTATGTTCTCTTCTGCTTCGTCATCAAGTTTAGGAGCTGGGGATAGAGAGTGTGCATTTTGTGGAGCTGGGTTGAAGTCCATGGTCCTGTTAGTGGGTTTTGTTCCTGAAATGCAACAATAGGTGCTTCGTACCAATGTATAACAAAGGAAGCATCATAATTTACTGGTGAATTGCATATAATCCCCTCGTCTATACCTTCTGTAGCATTCAATCGCTCCTGGGCTTGCACTTGAAAAGGATAAATTGCAGATAATTCCCCCATCCCCCAAGAAATCAAGGGCCATAAGTGCTAGTAAACAAGTTGAGTGGTTAAAAAAGATTAAACCTATAGATGAGGTGGTTATCTGCAACTTACCCACTTTATATTTTATATTTGTATTTTGGAAGGAAAAAAAAAATTCCTTAACGGTAGTGTTTGGCAAAATTAGGATTAATTACAGAAAGCCCCCATTAATTTTTTGGGAGTTGCAGTAAACACTCATCAACTTTTATTTATTACACTAAACCCCCCTAACTTGAGGAGTTATTGCCATAACCCTTATGGACGATTTTATTTCATAAATTTCACATAATAATTTATCATTTAACCTCCAAATTAGCACCATCAATTCTAAAATCTCATGTGGCAGGCAAACAGGTGCCAAAAAAGACGAAAATAACTCTTTAGTCATAAAAATTTTAGTGAAATAAAATAATACATGGGGGTAATGTACAATAACGTGTAAAGTTCAGGAGGGGTTTAATCTAATAAAAAAAGTTGATGAGGGTTTACTGCAACTCCCAAAAAGTTCATAGGGGGTTTTCTGTAATTAACCCGCAAATTTACATTAAGATTGGATATAAACATCTACTGTAATTTGCCCTCAATTTCATGCAAGTTAAATAGAACAGAGAAATGCCACCAGAGGCATGTATGGAATAACTATTTCAACAATAATCCAAAAATTCCATTAACAGGCCGAAGTCTAAGTCGAAAGAAAACAGCAGTTGACTCATCAAACAACTTGAAGAATTAAAAGAAAAATTGGGAAATTCCTATTCTTTAGTGTCAACATGAACTATATAAGCCTCAACAGCATCAGACTTTTCACATCACAATGAGGTTTGGCTAATAAAAGCACAAATTCATATTGAGCAAGAGCCAGCTGAAAATTGACAATTTCATTGCAAAATATATCGTGTCAAATTCTTTCTCAAGGAAATAATGTACAGTAGGGAAATTTGCCATAAAACAAATCTCATAGACTATAGCTTACACTCTCGGATGAGCAATCTTCCAAGATTCTTCTGGAGTAATGAAGGGTTATGAACTTATAAGGATTAAAAATAGTAAATCTGCTAAAGGAAATTGCACTCATCTCCAAGATAAAGGTCAAACACAGCACCCATACTTTTGACTTTTTCAGCAGACAAAGAAATAAATACTGATTTGTCAGCAGGTGATGTTATTAATATTTATAACACATAGTATTTGAGTTATCGAAAGCTTATCCTTGTCATATTTCTCCCGCAAAGGTATTGTGCTTTCAGTCAAGAAATTTTACAGGAAACTTTCAAATATCTATAAATCCTTATCTACTACAGGGCAAAAGATGGATATTGAGAAATGTAACTTCGCTGAAATCCCTCTTTACAGCCCATGTAAGTATCCAGATGTGTCATTGTATTCAAAAATATATTTACAATCATAAATAAATAGTGTAATAAGAAATTGACTTGATATATTTAATAGAAACTTTGGAGAAACAACATATAAAATATTGCACAGTAGGAAAACTAACTAGCTAATCTATGTATCTGAAAAATGATCATCATAAGATTTTTAACCAACAGAATGTAGAGGATACCTGGACTCTCTGGTTCGCCAATATCAATCCTTTCCACCTCAACCTGTGCAAGCAGGAAAAGGGAAAGGTCCATTCAGTACAACACATATGCTAATAACCACTTTCAAAATTTGTGCTATACCGACATAACGCAGTTTGCATATAAGCAGCAGAAATCTGAAGGTTTAATGGAGTAAAATGTTTGTGCTTCATGACTGATTTTGGATAAGATTGATAATCAGCAATTAAACAATAATACATAAGATCTCCGAAACAAATTTGAAAAATCCATGTGCTTGTAAGACCCAGCATTTGCGTTGAAATATGGTGCCCAAGCCTGTTAATCGTAGTTGCAAAGGAATGACATATTCTTTAGATGTGCAGAACAATGCTGTGACACTTATGATTTGCCCATTTCATGTCACCTGTTTCCTTTTAGTAAATATATATATACCACCCTTGAAATCTCCATTCATCTTATTACAAACCTTTACTCATGGCACAACTTTAGGCCTCTGGCCCAAAACTGTCTTCTTCTTTGAACTGGCTAGCCTACTAGTCCCAGAGCGTCTATTGTAACACAGTATACTTATTTTGACAGGCAACCAAACCTTAAAACTGATCTAATGGTAGATAAAAGCAGCTTACCATGTTCTTTATTGGTATACCTTTAAGAATCACAGTGCTTCTGAAGCTTTTTATAGTGTTAATTATGCCTCAACAGCTACTCTGCCAATAGCAGTTTCAGTTTCTCAAATGCTTCAGCAGATTGATATAACCAATAACATATGGAATTAATTACAAGTCTCGAGCCTTGGTTAGGATAGTTAGGCCCATGTCTGTTAGGCAGAATCATATTTAGGTAACTTTTTGGGTCTAAGAAAAGCTACTGCATTAAACACCAATAACTTGGGATTTAAACATCGGCTTCTGCCTTATGATATAGGCATGTGGGTTGCTTGCAAGAAAGTGTGATGCACAAGTTCATTTAGAGCAAGTTGTCCAGGCATAGAATAACATGTGATTAGGCTTATATTATACCTTTTTATATATTCGTTTATTTTACTTTTTTAAACTAAACTACTTTTTCTACTTTATTCAGTTTATTTTACCTTTTCTACTTTAAGGGCCTGTTTGGTTGGTTTCCTAGAAAAATAGGAACAGGAAAACTTAACCTAAAAACTACCTTTTCTACTTTATATATTCGTTTATTTTACTTTTTTAAACTAAACTACTTTTTCTACTTTATTCAGTTTATTTTACCTTTTCTACTTTAAGGGCCTGTTTGGTTGGTTTCCTAGAAAAATAGGAACAGGAAAACTTAACCTAAAAACTACCTTTTCTACTTTATATATTCGTTTATTTTACTTTTTTAAACTAAACTACTTTTTCTACTTTATTCAGTTTATTTTACCTTTTCTACTTTAAGGGCCTGTTTGGTTGGTTTCCTAGAAAAATAGGAACAGGAAAACTTAACCTAGAAACTACTTTCAAAGCATTTCCGAATTTATCCTGGAATAGGGTTTTTCTTACCTGTTTCACTTGGAAACCAAGTGGTGGAAATGCTTTTCTCAATTTCTCTTTTGGTTAAAAAAAATTCCTCAATTTCTGTTTGCAATTTTTTAATTCCGTTTTATTCAATTTCTACTACAAATCCGAGCAATAAACTCAGAAATGTGATTTCCCCAAAATATGACATGGCAGCCTTTTCATGGGGAGCTTTGCCATAATTAAGAGGCAAGACAAACAACATAATAAGAAAGGGTTATAAGCTTGTTTTTTTTTTGGCCGATGTGACATTTCTTGGAAACCCCAGAAAGAAACCCCCTTTCTGGGGTTTCCATGCGAACCAAATAGCCCCTAATAAGAAATTTATTTCGTAAGATCTTTGATCAACTGCTTGTATAGCTCTTATGTTGAAAGATAAAGGAGTATTATTGAAGGGTATAGTGAATCTTTGGAGGAGATTCAATGTTAAACATAATAGCTGCTACTTATTGGTTATCATTTAACTTTGATCTTTTACTAGAAGGGCTCAGAACTTGTATTAGATGCATACTTTGGTTGAGTTTTGCATATTTTTGGTTGAGTTGAAAACCAATAAGTTTGTGGACTTGTGTCTCTGTCCTGTTTGATATCCCCCTTTGCAACCTTATTGATAAATTTAAGTATCTTTTTCTAAGTTTCCTTGTTTTTGATAATTTTTTCTCATTTAATTTAAGTATTCTACTTAAGGGAGTTTCTACAACATGCAGAAAGATAGCTAACTTGATATGCAACTTCATCGTACACTAGATCCAGATATCCCAACTTCCGATTTCTCTTGCAACTTTCAGCCTAAAACAATCCCAACTACCAACTTTGAACATATTCTTTAAAATCTTAAAATATTCTGAGTTGGACACAAGCTGAATTTATAGCGATCCTATATTTCAAATCTATTTTCTCAATACCAAGAGGCCCCAGTTCATCTCTCATTTGATCTAGTTTAGTATTTTGTACTGAATTTTATTCTGTCCAAAGGAAATAAAAGAGGTAGCCCACCACAACTGCAAAATAAATCCCTTCTAGGTTTATGTCCAAAGGTAATCAAACTCTTAATAATTGCATTTTCCCTCAAAATTTATGCCTCCAGTGTATGACATCAGAGAGATTAAACGTATTTTTTCCATTATCATTTTTTATAAATTATAAGATTAGGAAAGATTTTGACAGTAAGAAATCTAAACCAAAGAAAAAAACCTAAGGCATAGTAAAGGGTTTTTAGAAAATACTGTATACTGTATACAACGGTGGAGACAAGAGCTGAAGAAATTTTCTCTAATTTTATTATTTCCTCGCCCACACAATGGCTGACATGATTTGTCTTTACAATATTCCAGGTCAGGGCTCTTTCCTTCTCCGTAAATTACACTTTTCTAACTAAAATAGTGTTAGACAAGTCACTGATAACCTAATATATTAATTAGAAAGAACAAATATTTCAATGACAATCTTCAATGGGAATCATAATGCTGAATAGAAGTTCCTCAAGTCATCTTCCCACCAAGCACCAAACAGAAAATCTCCTTAAAAGTGAAAATTTCTATAGCTTTATCCCATTTGATCAGCAAATTTCAGTGGATAGTTAAACTACATGGGTACGGGTTCGGTTACTAGTATGGAACACAACAAATTTGTAAAAAGAGGGTACGCAGCCAAGGCTATACATATGTATGTTGTATATATTTATGTGCATTAAAATTAATAATTTACATAAGATCAATATTATATTTGCATTTATATAAGATCGGTATATAAGAAATAGATGTTGAGTGTCGGATATACGTTCAAGAAGTGTATGAGTAGTGTTCTAAATTAAAACATGTATTATATAATTGAGCATACACCTAATAAATATGTGCATGTCTTCACAAAGTGTCCAAGAAGTTTCCACACAGTCATACAGGTACAGATACGGGTACGTGGTAGGTATAGGTACGGCTTTCGGTATAAGTACCCAAGTAACATAGCTGAATAGCGATCTATAATAGGCTTATAGATGATCATGCTCCCTTTTTGTCTATTACATTGGTTTCTTAAAGCACAAAGTTATACCACTCCTAGCCAAACTCCAAAGACATCTTTACTATCTCCTAAAACTATCATCTTGTCAAGTGACAGCATCGATCCTATATTGATCCTACAATTACTAACAATTCTAGTAGGGGGCCAACTGGAGAGTATAGGCTTCAGAGCTTTCACTGGATCTCTATCATTTTAAAAGAAGAAAAACAAAAGCACCAATTCCAGCCAAACAAAGTTCAAACCATCTCTATAATATTTAAACAATAAAGAATTTGAGCTTTGATGAACCAACTCAATGGTCCAACTAGTTCTATGTTGAATGGTGTCATCATTTTCTAAGGAGAATTATGTCATCATCATGAATGTATTTAGAGAATGTCAAATCCCTCCATGAACAGATTCTAGATTCTAGCTTGTGAACTTGCGACGTGACACTTCAAAACAACTAGTCTAAGTAGTGCTGGTAATTTCAAAAGAAATAGGTGATCTAAAAGTTACCAAAGAATATTAAAGCACCAAAGGAAATTGATGTTTAAAAATGAAGGTTTTATGCATAAATTTAAAAATAACTTACATGGACTGAAGGTGCTGCTGTTTTGGTCAGCTTGACCGATGTAGCAGATGCCAAGTTCGCTGTTGCAGCAATAGATTCACCACGCTGCCGAACATGCCGCAGTCTCTTAACAGCCCGATGCAAGCGTTCAAGCCGAAAGGTCTCTCCATCAAAAAACAAGACTGCATCATTGTCTTTGTAATCCTCACTGCTTCCTTCAAAGCTCACCTTAGGTTTCCCTGGCTGGTTGTTATTGAATTCTACAGCGACCCTGTTCTCCTTGTTCTTGTGGAGAGATCCAGGCTGACTCTTATCAATTGAGGCCGGCTTGAATTCATCTGTCAATTTTTAGACAAGATTAAAAGTCTTGATTTGTATTGTTTTCCTACTACTAGGTTGTTCTAAACTCATCAGCAAAGATCTTGGAAGTAAAAATCAAAAGAATCAACAACAATACAGCATAGCACCTGACTAACAGCTTGTGAAGCTCTAATCATTGAGACTTTAAGTAAAGAGTCAAAAGTTAAGAATGACATGTTACGTTAGGCTTATAATAACATAATTTGATCCACACGTATTAAAGGCCACACCAGTAGAAAAATTTTAATTCATGAATCAGTGTCAAACGAAACCCTAGACAAAAAATTAATGATCAATGGCACATATAGATTCAACGTAAATCTACTGTAGCATGAAAATCAACGGATAACAAAAGAATTTCAATCTCAAACTCCACTAAAATTCTAAAACTCCCCATCATCCGCACAACAAAAACCTAAATTTATGTAGGGAATTAAGCGAACAAGTAATGCCATCCAAAACCCTATCATAAATTTCAAGCTAAAAGATAAAAGGATCGGAGCAAAATTTCGGGAATGAAATCAGGGTTTCGAGAAAGATCACTTACATCGAAGAGTACAGAATTTGCAGGGAGAATTGTCCCTGAAAGATGGACCTAGCTTTAATTCGTACCATCTCTCCGCTTGAGGTGCTGAGCTCGGTTCTCCGTTGTTGTTATTCGCCATTTACTCGCAAGAGAATTTCCCCCAAATTTATTTTTGTTTTTAAGGCTTTTTTATGACGTTAAAAGCTTCCGAATCCTCTTTTTTCTACACAAATCATCATTACTCGTTTTTTTATGACGTGGTAAAAGCTTTCGAATGTTTTTTTTTATATATAAATCATCATCATCATTGATCTTAGTTTAGAAAAAATTGTGTCAAAATCAGGCCCTCTATATTTTAGGCCATGTGGTCAAGCGGGCAAATGTCAAATGTATTTATTTTTAAGGTTCAATTAAACTTCCAAGTAAGTATTCCAAAATGTCCATAATGACATATATCTAACC